TGATCAAATGTAGATGAGAGATCACATAGGTGCATTGGAAACTTCTCCTGGATTAGCAACATGCAGGCATTAGTGTCACAGGGACAAAAGCTAGAACAGAGAATTTAGTGAGTGAATGGCTAATGAAGAGAGGAGGATGGTTTTAAAAAGGCATGGATGGCTGAGGGGGGAAAAGGAAAACATGGGTATATGTATCCTTGAATATTAGACATGAGAACACATTTACATGTTTGTGAGAAAATCAAGTAAAAGGCAAACACAGAAGACATAAGAAACAGTAGAGATAATTAGTAACAAAAGTTCAGATTCAGAAATTATAATACAGAAACAAAAAGGCTAAAACAATAATGGCCTGTAAGTTGGAAGCCGTAGATCCATTCCTATCTGACACGTCTGAACTCTTTGTCTTGGCAGCACTCTAGAGTCCAGGTACAGGATTAAGAAGATTGAACAGGCTGGCAAATAAACAGTACATGCCTTCAGCCTTTTAAAATATCTTTGTTCTGGTCCTCACCTCTGTCTGATTATAAAAAATAATCTATTTACATAAACTGAAGTGGCAGGGTTTGTTGATTTTTGTTTTGACAAGCTGTGAATCAGAAAAATAATTGCTCCTCATGGTTTCATGGGAAGGAGTAAGTAAAGCATCAAAATCTGGAATTTTGTCTACTTGGATCTGAACACTTGTGCCCACTACTAAGGAACAGAGATCTCTTTATAGCTACCTTCATAGCTTCATAGCTATATATTCATAGCTTTTGAATATATATCAAAAGGTTAAAGTTATTCATTTGCTTATTTAGTAAATTATGCATTGAATCTGTATACATTCTACAAATATTTATTGACTGCCTATTATCTGCTAGCCACTGATCTGGTTGAAAGGGATGCAGAGGTGTTGAAAACAATTTAAAGCCTTACCTTCATAGAGCTACATTCTACAGACAGAAAGGTACTAATTAAATGTGCACACAAAATATTAAACACATGATATAATACCAGGTCTGATAAACACTATTAATCCTTACTATATAAAATTTTAAAACAGAACTGGAAGTTTAGTTAGAAATACAAACAGTTCCTAAAAACGTAATATGTTCTATAATGGAGAAATAAAGCATTTGCTTTAGCAGGACAGGTAACAGTGTGACCAATAATCTAGAACGGCTAAAAACAATGCCAGGGAACACACAGCTAATGCTCAAAATGATTAACCATTATTGTATATATGGTTAATATATATTAACTCTGTAACACAGACTAGAGTGCAATGAACAAGCAATAAAGGCTTCTTTATATAAAAAATACTTAAAATTAATCAGAAAGAATGAAGAAGGATTAAGCAGATGGTGAGGAGGGTAGGGTCTCCTAGGGAACAGCATGTGACAAGACAAAAATGGATGAGTTTGCAGGATAAGTTTTGGAACTTGAAATTGATGCATTGGCTGAAGTATAGAGTTTTGGCCATCGGAAGAAAAGTATGTCAGAAGAACACAACTGAACATGTCCCCTTGATCTGGAGAAAGCAAATTTCAAGATAATGTAGAAGGTAGAGTGAAAACAATAGTGTCTCCTTATTCTCTCATTTCTTCCTAATAGACTGTACGTTTTACAAATTGACTATTCTGTAGCAAGTGCTGTACGACAAATTGACTATTCTGTAGCAGGTGCTGTACTAGAGACTGGAATGAATAATTAGATTTGAAACGTATCATCAATGAGATAACATTATTAACATTTTGAGTAATTTTAATTATCCAGACACTGTTTCAAGTGATCTCCATGTATTAATTCACTTAATCCTTTAAAACACTCTATAAACTAAGCAGAATTATTATTCTCTTTTTTATATACATATAAACCAAGGCAGTAAGCTTTGTTCACCATTCTATTTCTAATTCCAGGCCTAGTTCCTGACATCACAGTTTCTTAATAAATAGTTTTGAATGAATGAATTAACAATGGACAGAGGAATCATACTGAATCCCTGCTTTACTAAGATCATGGTTTCACATACATGATCAGGTCTCTGTCTCACTGGAGTTATTTTGTGAGGTGATGGTAGGATCTTGGTCCTCAAACTCAGATGCATAAAAATCTCCAGAATTTCTTGCGAAAAATTATATTATATACAATGGTGAAGTCCATGAATCTGAATTTTAAAGAGATAACCCAAATATTTTATTTTCAGGTGATCTCTGAACAAATTTTGAGGGAAATAATTGTTGTCACTATGTTGATAGTTATTATAACTAGACATAAGCTTAGTGAATAATGACTGTGGTTCAAAAGAAGGAGGAAGGAAATGGTGACTTCGGTGACAACATAAGGAAATCATCAGTTGCAGGAGAGTTTGGTGTCTGTTCTCTTCACTCATATGTCAGGGTGTCTTAGCCTAGCTATTATTGCCAGTTTGAGCTCTGTAATTCTTTGCTGTGGCAGGGCCTTCTTTTGCATTTTAGTACATGTAACAGCAACACTAGCCTCTATCCACTGGATAGTAACAGCTGCCTTTACCCCTAGATTGTGAAAACTGGAAATATCTCTAGACATTGACAAAAGTTCCATGGGGTCAAATTACCTTCACTTGAAAACCACTATCATAATGTGAAGATAGAGAGCTTTCTTCACTTCCTTACCTACAGCAACTCCTAGTATTCTAATCTATAATTCTGTAAGACACCTGATCTTATTTCCCCATGAGTCCACGAATGTGCCCTTGTGAGACACTGTTTGATGAATATGATGTACCTTATTTGCTTTTTTCAGAACTGACAGTATGTATCTTTCCTCACATTTCTCCTCACCATACATAGAGCTGGTTTATCAAATCAGATGAGGCAGACTGTCAGAGTCAGCACATGGGTGGTATCTACGACCATCATTCCTTTTCTCCAGGTTCCACAGGATTCAGATCCCCTTTACATATAATAGCCCATAGGAAATCATGATTATTGCAGAATAGAATTGGTTTCCCATAAAACACATATTATAAAAAATAGAAAATATATATCAAAGGAGGAGACATAGAAATAGTCAAATAAAAGTGCTTGAAAGAAATAAGTGAAACAAGTTGGAAACTACTTTAGAATAAAATCTGCAAAAACCTGGATTTTGGAGAAAACAAGAAATTTTCTCCAGTTTTTAAAAATCTTTTATGAGAATAAACAGGCAAATTCTTACTACCCAAGGAGATATCCTTCAGCTTTCCTCATTAATTTATTTTAATTGCTCCCAAAGTCTTTCAGTTACATATGTAAAATGTAAGAGTAAAACCTTGTTAAGAATTATTAATGGAAGGACTATCAGCTACTGTTGCATGCAACATTATAAAATGTCATATTCCCACGAATGTATACAAACCTTACCTAATGTTAGCAAAATGCAAAGGGTAATCAGAAAAGTATTTGTTATTCATGACATACTTCTAATGAATTAATTTCTAGTTCTCTGGCTGATCAGATAAGTGAATTAGTGTGTGCATTAAACGAAACAGTTACATAGCTATCCAAAGCACATTCTTAATTGAAGCAGAAAAAGAAAAAAAAAAAAAACCCTCAGATTTATATTGACATCACATTTTATGTAAATTTATTCACCCTAAAATCTATTATGATTAAACTTTATTGTTTTCAAAACTATTTGATATGGGCTACCTTGACTAACATGCTTTGTGGAAGAGAAAAATACTGCCTAATTAACGTGTAGTGGGAGAAGAAAAACAAGGAGGGTCAATGCGCATTTCCAGAGGAGACTAAAAGGATGGAGAATCAATCAAAGAGAGGGAGAAACGCCTAGCACTGCACCATTTGTTATTTCGGGCAAGAACATGAATCAGTAACCTCCTGCGCCCTATCCAGTTTCTTTAAGTTATTTCAGTAGGTAGAGCAGCAACAGTTACCTTACCGCCATGCACAAACACTGTTACTTCTGGCTTGAACGTTTGAGGCAGACAAATATGCTCAGGTAACTGGGTAGTAAATTACAGTTCAAACCAGAATCGGGCCAATTCTGTGGGGTGGATTAACAGCTAAATACTCCAACCCCAGGAGCCTTCCGTCGGAAGCAGGTTCTTGGGAAGCCGTTTTAAGGCAGAAGATGGCTGGGCAGAGAGAGCGCCTGCTTCCATCACCTCCAGCGTCTTCCCCTGTACAGTTGTTCCAGCTGCCAGAGGCTTTCTGGTTGCCACGGCAACTGCCGGGCTCTGCTAGGAACTCAAAGCAGAGCCTCTGAAGTTAGGTACCAAACACTGGAGCTTAACAGATGCAAACGCAGATGGGGAGTGGGGAAGAGAACCAGGATTGCCCATCTATAGGCTCTTATAGCTAAGACAATCTTTATAAAATCAGACTTTTGTTTTCGTGTTTGTAAGATGACATAGTTCTTGCCTGGCATTATTCATTAGTGTCATCATCTTTCGGTGCCTGGCGGGAGAAGACTGCAAATCCTCTCTCGCTATTAAGGCTGCAGAAGGGGGATGGGGCAAGCAAACGTGGTAACCAGGAATGCATGGAGCCTGCTCATTCATTCATTCAATTATATATTCAACATCTCCTGAGTGCTCATTTGTGCGGGGCACCCTGCCAGGTGCTGGATCTGCAAAGAGAAAGTAGACACCGCCCCACCCACAAAATTAACAAGATAATTAACGCAAATTAACAGAATCCTCACGAACCTGGGGAAAACCAGTTAGGCGCTGCCTGCTTCCCAGGGATCTCTCTTGGAAGACAGATTCAGAATTTGTACGCGGGAGAGGAAAGAGGCCGTGGCCCCGAAATAGAGTCAGACAAGAGAAAGAGCAGAAGGGAAGGCGAAAGGCAGCCTCTCCCTGGGGAGGGATTCTGTCAAGGCCACTCAAATGTTTCTCCCCGGCTGCGAAGGAGAAGAGGTTTGTTTTTCTTTTAGAAAAACGGAGCCCTTTTCCCTACTGGGCTCAATTTCTAGTAGGAGAGCCCCGCCTCCTTGGGCTACTGATTGGCTCAACTCTTTTTAAGGTAATTTATGCCAGCGTCCTCTCAGCCTGATTGGCTCCCTAGCTCAATTCTGCTGGGAGTCGCATCCTACCTGGTTGGGAGGTGCACTGCCTTTCCACACTCTCCCTTCTTATACTCAGCCAGCTGCTGCTGAAGTGGGAGGAAAAGTCCTGGCTGGGAGAATTGAGCTAGTGCAGCACACACAGAAAAAGCGATTCCGATGGGTCCTTTGAAAGCTTTTCTCTTCTCCCCTTTTCTTCTGCGGAGTCAAAGTAGAGGGGTGAGGCTGATGTTCTTGTTACTGACCCTGCATTTGGGAAACTGGTGAGTAAATTCAGGGGCTTAAAACTATTCTTTGGTATCTACCCTTTCCTCTTATTCCCTTTTATTTTAAAAATTGTTCTAGGCAAAGTGATTACATATATGTGATATTTACCATCATTTTATTTTCTGATTAGATTTATTCATTCTCAGACAGAAGGGAATTAACATATTTTTGAAACATGAGGTTGGTTCAGTTATTTTTTACTTCAAGCAGAGTAAAAACTAGTGAGGATTCAGTTACTGGAAGGGAGTGGGGGAGTAGGAATGACTGCCAGTAAATTTAGTGAATGAATGTCAACGATGAACTTTCAGGATGATTCTGTATTTTAAAAAATAAAGTTATTTCAAAAACTTGTTGTTACACAGCATGTTATGTATGATGCTTTTCTATCTTCTGCTGTTGCTTTTCCACTTTCCTCGTTTTTGGTAACTTTCTGGAACAAACCAGTGTTTTACATCAAGAAAGATTATAAATCTGGCTAAAAGGAAATCTATCAGCATTACAAATGTATAGTATTCAAGTAAAAATTAACCATGTATATTTTATTTGAACCAGCTTTGAGTTTTTTTTTTTAATTAGCTGTCCATTAGTAATTAAAAATGTATGGCAGCATGAAAGTCTTGGCTGTGTGTTTGTGTGTGTATGTGTGTGTGTGAGAGACAGACAGAGAGACAGAGAGAGAGAGAGAGAAAAGAGTATTACCAATCACAAACCTCAAATTTAACAGGAAGAAGACTGGGCTGTAATACCTTCAATAAAACTTTAAAATCTTTCTGTTAGAAAAATAAAATGCTCAGGTATCATTCCTGGATTATATGTAGGAGTATTGGGTGACTTGAGCTAAAATATGTTGATTAAGGCATAGACATTTATAAAGGTCTGGGACATGGCACTCATACCATGCAACTTATTTCAAATAAATGTACTTTTAACATTACATTATTATAAATGTAAAAGTGCATATAATTCAAAAGTAAAGTACAATCACTAGGAAGTTAGAAACATGACTTTATAACTACTTTTAACATTGCTAGAAGAAATTATTATTATAAACTTAAATGTAAAGAGACATTGAATATTTTTTACCATACTACCAGATATAGATACTATATTTTCTCTCTGAAAATAGAGAATGGATTAAAGTATGCTAAGTAATATTAGACTTGTTGGAATTTTTTAACACTTAGTGCTTTTTGAGCATTAAAGTTTCGGTTTATTTACCCTGTTTCCTTGGATTCTTAAATGTTTGACATGAACATAAATGTACTACTGGATGAATTATTCTTATATATTTTGTGTCATAATGCCTTATTCTTTGAATATATTATAACATTTTATAAAGATTTTTAGGTAGAGACATACATTATATTACAAAAGTAAAAACAGATTTAGCCAGTGGTTTTCTGAAATAACAACATTTTATCATTTTATACAAGTTTCCCTTTCAACCAAATAGGCAAGCTACTTAGTAAAGGACATTTTATCTGTCCCAGGAGATGTTTTATTTTAAATAAACAAGTTTTGTTTAGGGAAATATTTACATTTGTGATCATTATAATTGATTCAAGAACTCTCGTCAAGCTCTCAGAGTTAAAGAGATGTGTGCTGTAGGAAGAGAGTACAGGGTTTGCAGCCTGGAGACCTGATTTCATATGTCAAGGGCCTTTAACCTCTCTGAACACAGTTTCATCTGTGAAATGAAGGATAGTAGTAGATTACATATTATTTCTTTAGATGTTCACATTCAATACCTCTATGATTTCAACTGAAAAGTGAAATAAGTCAACGGTGGCTTCACTGTTTTATCTAAGTAGTTTTCAAGAGGGAAATCTATGTGATTTCTCAAGTGTGAATGCTATGTAATTTTTAAACATATATATATGTGAGAAAGGTATTGTACACTTAACAAATAACTTCTATTATCATAGTAATGTAGATAATCTGGATTATTTTGTCTGGTAAATAAATACACATTAAAGGAAAAATTTATAAGCTGTTGTTCTAATTAGCCCTGAAGGCCTCAGTTATGAGAGATTATGTTTAAAATAATCTCTTGATTTAGGGAGTACTTTTAAAAGTACTCCCTAAATCCATAATTTTTATAAAATGAGATAGAAAACTATCAATAAAAGGCAAATGTAAGCATGCTTTCTTCAAGATGCATCATAAACTATTTTCTTCAGTGAATGGAAAAAGTTTGACACAGAAACACTTTTGTAGGGAACCCCTGAGAATGTTAATAGAACATGTTTCTTTCTCCACTGGGTTCTATGAGACCAAGTTGGGAAACATAGCAATGAAAAGGAAATATGAGCATGTTTTGCTAAAAATAAATTTAAATAATGATGTTGTAATGAGCCTGTAATCCCAGCACTGTAGGAGACCAAGGCGGGCAGATCATGAGGTCAGTAGTTCGAGACCAGTCCGGGCCAACATGGTGAAACCCCATCTCTACTAAAAATGCACAAAAATGAGTTGGGCATGGTGACATATGTCTGTAATCCTAGCTAATCTGGAGGCTGAAGCAGGAGTATTGTTTGAACAGGGACCCAAGGGGTGGAGGTTGCAGTGAGCTGAGATACCATCATTGCACTCCAACCTGGGCTACAGAGAGATACTCTATCTCAAAATAATAATAACAATAATAGTAATGATAATAATAATAATAGTAATAATAATAATAACTAAAATAAAGTAGCTGCGGATGGGTGAACTTTTCTCTTAATATTTAGTTGGAGATAACAAGTGCTAACATTTATAAATCATGTATGGTCGTATTTCTCTCCTGTTTTCCATTTTTTTTGGCTAGTTTTTCCTTCCAAGACTAACCATAAATATTTCTGTTTGTAAGCGTTTTAATGTCTTACATGATTTCCAAAGTACACCTTGAAAGTCATCTATTTTTGGGACTTCTTAAATTGGAAGCAATTGTTTTTGATATTTAATCAGTTGCAATGCTTAGTTTCCTCAACTTTCATTAAGAGTATACAGGAGGCACACTATTTTTTTTTTTTTTTTATATTGCTGAACTATGGAAACCTATCCTATCATTGTAACTGAAACTGTAGTCATGGTTGCTGTGTTTCACTCTCTAGGAGACTCTTTGGCATCTTGACAAGTTCTTTAGAATCTCTTCAGCTTCATTTAACGTCTTTGTAATGTTGAAAAAAATCTGGTTATAATCTGTTTTTTTAAAAAGAGATTTTAACTGTTCTAAAAAGTAATCTACAATAAACCTTGACTAAGAGTTATATATTGAAAAATCTCAAGGAAAAATCACATTTTTCTTTTTTCAGTACAATTTCCTTGAGTCAATAATCACACAATGTGGCATTCATTTGCCAAGTTTAACATATTCAAATACACTTGCTTTAAAAATGTATTATTTTCAAGTAATTTCAGTAATATATCTTGTGTGGGTATTAATGAATGAATAACTTTTTAGGTGTCTAGATTTTTCACTTAATTTTGTAATAAAATGCTGATGGTAACCTTTCAAACATGAGAACCAAATAACTAAGTAATGATATTCTATGATAGTTAAATATGCAAAGGACTGAGAGGAAAATGATTTTGAAACTAAAACGCAAATGACAAATTGGGCGCCGTGCCTCATGCTTGTAATCCCAACACCTTGGGAGACTGAGGAGGCTGAATCACCTGAGATCAGGAGTTCGAGACCAGCCTGACCAACATGGAGAAACCCTGTCTCTACTGAAAATACAAAATTAGCCAGGCTTGGTGGCACATGCCTGTAATCCCAGCCACCCGGGAGGCTGATGCAGGAGAATCCCTTGAACCCAGGAGGTGGAGTTTGTGGCAAACCGAGATGACGCCATTGTACTTCAGCCTGGGAAACAAGAGCGAAACTCCATCTCAAAAATAAATAAATAAAATAAAATGCAAATGTCATAGTCGATAAACCCCTTGTGTACAGAATCTTTTAGTTTATGCAAACAATCAGTATCTTTATTTCATTCTATATGATGAAGAACATTTCTGGCTAAGAAATAAGAGGAAACACTTGAATTTTATTCAAATATTAAGTAGATTAATTGAATGTAAGAATATAATAATGAAAGTGGAGGCCCAAAGGAGGGCAGAAAAAAAGAGTAAAAAAAGAACTGAAAAATGACTCTAGAGATACTGAGAAAATGATTACCAAAATATGATAAATGACTACCATGAGAGAAAAGGAAGAATGAGCTTCCAGAGAGTAATTCACATATGGGCAAGGTTTCAAGTGAGAATCCTGGCCTTTACCAACAGATCTAAATTCCAGTTTCAGCTCCACCATTTCTCACTGGAGTGATTTCAGACAAATCTTTGAGGCAGAAAATCTTCATTAGTGTGGAGCTGTCATATGTATTTCCAGAAATGAAATTTCCAAGAAAAAAAAATCTGTGCAAAGAAACTAGCACTTAAAATTTTATATGAAAAGAAAGTCATAACAGATATTCTGTGGAATTATAGTTATTCTAGTATGATATAGCCTAAAGTGGTTTGAAGCATAGTAGAGCGAAAACCATGGATTCTTGTGTGCTCTTAAATACCTTTTGCACTTGGAAAAGGTCATTCATTTACTTAGTCAACAAATATTTATGGAATACCTAGTGTGTGCCATAAAAGAACAATATGCTGAGTTTACAGTGGTGATAAGTAGATGTAAGTACTACCCACTTGGAGCTTATACTTATTCATTGCTAAGACCTAGATTTATGACACTAATTAAAGAAAAACATTTTAATCAAAATAAAAAATATACCTTCAGAACTTTAAAGATAAACAGAGGAGTCTAAATTTTTCAAGATAGAAGATACTGAAAGAATAGGTCATAACCAAGAAAAAATGACTAAAGAGCCAAGAGATTTCTCATCAGCAATATCATAAGACTATGGGGAAAACGTCTTCAAATCTGAAGGCAAGTATTCAGCCTAGAAGATTATACTTAGCCAAATTACACAATGAGAAGACGAAGAAGAATATAGCCTAGATGTTG